TAGGTCCATAGTTAGGCATGACTAAATTTAAATAGTCCTCCCTAATAAAACGGGCCTAAAATATTTAGAATAGACCCTAGTAAGACTAATTTTGGCAATGGCAAAAACAATTAAGCTTAGACTAGATGGCATACCACACAAATACAACAAAACTTTACCTTTCCAGGAAGATGGCTCAGGCCTCGTCTGGATGGATCAGGAGTAGTGGCCTAGCCTAGACTAGTAGAGGCTTGCCGTATTTTTAAGTTCTTACTTACAGAGGCCTACCTTTTTAACAATATTCTACCCTAAAGGCCTAAATCTGTGTAGCAGCTAGCGGTGAGCAAGGTTCCTAAGTATAGCCTACGGTTATCAGTCCATGTCGTTCTCAGCAGGCCAGAATTGTCGTTATACTAGGCCTAACTGTTTTAATTCAAGTAAGTAGCCAAAAGGGAGCTGGAGCTTGTTCTAGTCGAGACATCCGCATTTTCAATTTTGAAAATTTACGAAGATTGATTAATATGCATGAAGTTAGCCAATCATGTGATTTACAAAATCAGTCATGCATACGATATCCCACATCAAATTTGATGTGGGAAATTGCACGCATGAATCGTTTGCCCAGGCCCTAATTCGAAAAAAAAGAAATCGAGTATGGGACGTCAATCAAATTAGGTATGGCGCGCACTAAGTGCAATAAAGAGTGAGTAACCTAAAATTAGGGCCTGGAACCCAGGCTAGGATGGAATATATACTTTGAAGTATGCTGAATCCAATAAAATGAGTCGCCAATTTTTTTACGCTTATCTTTATATGCAAATTAGTTAAAATATGCAAATTAGTTCTGAAAAAGTAGGGTACTTATATCTCGGTAACCACTTGTCGTAGAAAGTTGATTCTTTCTTAAAGTTGTTCAGAACATGCATGTTTTTATTTACCCTAATGAAACATTTTCTTCAAAAATGACCGGAAGTGCCATTTTGCCAACCTTATTAGCATAAATATGCAAATTAGGGGTGGAAATATAGGGAGCTATATCT